CCCAAACACCGCAACGCTCGAGTTTCAAACATACGGGTAACTAGCTGTACCGAACTTTCTGGGTAAATTGAGGGCGTAATTGCAAACGATGGTGCTTAGCGAAATTTGATTGGCTAAATCTATGGCAGCCATCTTGGATGGTACACACACACAGTTCTGCGTATTTCGAACATCGAATACATTGCGGTTAGCGCTCTAGTATTCTTATGTATGATCGAAAGCTTCTAATTGTTAAGGCCAACTCAAACAGTGTTGGCCGACGCAGCCCGACCCGATTTATCGTCGGGGACAGTCTTAAGCCGTCGTGAGAAATTTCTTGGAAATATTAAACACGTTTAATATTCTACTACGCGACTGCCCCCGACGCACACCATCGCGTCTGCGTTCAACTCACACAGACCCGACGCGACAACAAATCGCGTCGGGCTGCGTCGGCCGACGCTGTCTGAGTTGGCCTTTACGCGTAAACGTAAAGTCGCGCGTTGTACGCTATGACCAAAGCAGTCAAAGTTCATTTTTGCAACACGGCGCCGTGCACTTCGTTATTACAGAATTTGCACACGGAAATCGCGGAGAACTCTATCTTGTGTTTATAAGATCTTTGATGTTAAGGCAGAAATTATAGAGGGCGCTATTTTAGGTCAGTAAGCTGATAAGCACTCGAAAAAAAGTCGCCTTCTTCAGCATTTTGAGCGCCCTCTATAATTTCTGCCTTAACTGCTATGGGAAAGGTTGGCAGGAGGTTATATTTTTGCCTGTTTTTTTATTTAGTTTATTTATTTGTCTGTCGGCATATTTGTTGTGAACAGCCTACAGCCCATAGTTTTTATCAGAAATTCATCAAACTTGGCCAAAATGTTCCTTTACCTAAGATCTAGAGCTGAAATTGTGAAGGGTCAGGGTCAAAGGTCAAGGTCACAATAAACGAAAAACTATTTTTTAAAATTTATCACAAACTTGCACAATGTTCCATGACCAAAGATTTTGAAGTATTTGAATGTTAAAGGGTCAAGGTCACAATCAACAAAAAAAGACGATTTTTTTAAACAGTTTTTATCAGAAATTTGTCAAACTTGGCTACAATGTTCCTTTACCAAAGATTTGAAAGTGCCTAAATTTTGAAGGGCCAGGGTCAAAGGTCAAGGACACACTGATCATATAACTGTTACGGGCTTGCCGGTATATAAAGTGTAAAAACCATTACTTTTGTAACTGGTCAACGTCAATAATACTTTCCACACTTGTTAATACGGTTCACAATACTTTTAATGTTACTTCCATCCATTTCCATTCAAAACCGTAATGAACAAACCATACAAGACCGTACAGAAATATAGAGAACTGCACAGAACCGATTAACTGAAAGTATACAAAGAAAGGGTTTGTCTACAAATAAACAGCAAGTGCCTTGCAAATACAGAAATACCGTACAGATTATCATATACAAATAACAAATAATCATAATTTATTATCAGCAACAATTCATTGGATTTTTAAGCTTATCTAATAACATATAAAATAAATTCACCAAAGATTGTGCCTTCATAAATTGACCATTACAGCCATAAAAATAAAAAAACAAGCCTAGCTTCTTGCTTGCTAATATACAATCATTCATAGATAAGTCAGTTGTGGACAATTCCACCTTACTCTCTTGGCTGCTACACTAAAACTGCACACTACAATACCACACAGCTAAGCAGAACAATAGGTATGCTAATTAACAATTAGCATAGCACAACCTGGTTTGCCTGGTAACTTTTACAGTAAACAAACTAATGATTTGGACCTTGCAACTTTCAAACGATATAGGATGTGGAAACAGTTTGGTGTAGTGGTTAGAAGGGAGCTTCCACACTACCGGCCCCGGGTTCAAATCCAATCAGTCTACTTGTTTTTTTCCATTATTTTTTTTTGTGACAATATGCGGGCGAAATTCATACTGAGGAGAATTACGATGTGCCGTTTAAATTTCTGATGTCCCAGACTTAAATATCTCCAAAAAAAAAAAAATTCTCAATGGGTATAAATGAAAATTTCTATAATAGTTTGTCAAGGTCTAGTAAACAAATGAATAAAGTTTTGTGACGATCCGGGGTAGGGCGTGGATATGAGTGCCATTCAAATGAAAACGTTCCAGACCAGATATTGTAAAAACGGGTCAGCTGAACCAAATGAAATTTCGGGAAGGTTTAACCAAGTTACAAGGAAAATTTAATTATGTGTTGGGGACGATCCAGGTAAGGGTGTAAATTTGAGGGTCATTTAAATTGCTTACCGGGTACGTCCCAGTTATAAAATGAAACTTTGCAGAATAGTATAATTGGTCAAATGAAGAAATTATCAAATTTTTGTGACGCATATGCAGTAGGTTTTCGATATAGGGACAATTTAAAGATTTTTTGAAAAGATGATTAAAGTATATAAACGCAATTTGCGTTTTCTAAACCGCTTAAACCAGTTACAGATAGGCTAAACGCAAAACTACCGTAATGTGCATAAACAATTTTTGCTTTCGGTCACTGAATCGCTGTAAAATGCACTTGCTTATACAAGGTTATGAGTCTCCAAGTAGGCATACCTCGTTATTACCATTGAAGCAATAGTTCGAATCTCACTATCCGCGGTATTTGTGAACTTTGGTTTTCGTTGTTTTTTTTTACTTCATAATTATTATTATTATTATTATTATTATTATTATCATTATTATTATCATTATTTTAGACAATCCATGTATACCGAACCCGTGCGAAAACGGTGGCAAATGCAACGTGAGCGACAATTACAGAATGATATGTACGTGTGCATTAGGTTTTGAAGGCACATCATGTGAGATAGGTAAGCTCATACAAATTCTTATTTTATATTGTATATTAATTTTTTGTAACAGGACTATAAACTGATGCAGATATCTTCCTTTACTCAAGGTGGGCCTACCTTTACTTATATAAGTCACCACTCAGTAGTAATGTACCGCGTTATGGGCGGTTTTGCATAACAAAGTGATTTTACGTAACAAAGGAGG